TTCTATCTTTCTTTCCCTTCTATCTTTCTCTCTCTCTTTCTTTATCTCTCTCTTTCTCTCTCTCCCTCTTTCTCTCTTTATTTTTATTTTTATTTTTTTAAATTTTTAACTCAGTAGATGGTAGGGTGAAAGAAGAATGGAGACGATGTTATTTTATAGTGCTGTGGTCTTTATTACTCAGAATGTAGCTGCCATCTAAATGGGACAAAGTAGTCCTCTAAAAATCAGTAGGGGGTCCTGAAATCTGAGCAAAATTCCCTAGGAAAAGTTCTGTGGTATTGAATACCCATATAAGTAAAGACAATGGAATTTAGAACCTGCCCTTCTTTCTAAGGAAAGAATGCTTTCCTATGATTTTAAGTATATATTTAGAGCAGCACAGAGGAAGGGTGGATGGCATGCCAGCAAAAGGTAGAGATGCTTGGAGAAAAGGATGAAAAATCCCATGTGGGATCAGCGAAGAATAGATGCTACAGATGGAAGATTTTTTTGGTTGTTTTTTTTTTTTTTTTAATTATTTTTTACTGCAATCATCAAAGACTGGAAGAGTTACAATCCCCCAAAATTTCATCATGTAACTCTCTTTATGAGTATTTCACCCCATTACTGCAAATTATGTTTGGTCCTGATTTATGACTTTCACCTCCCGGCCCAGAAGTAATAACAGGGAATTAAATGCTGCAGGCTAAACTATTCCCAAAGCACTACTGAACAAGATATGCATTCTACCATCTCTCTGATATACGGTACTTCTTAGAAGTCTGCAGCAACTGATAGTATTCTTTGATTAGACATGATTAGAGAATTGGTTTACATTTTTGTACTTTAGGAATCCAAGCTGTTATTTGTAATTTTTCTATATATAAAGTCTATATTGGACATTTCCTTTAATAGTTCCTGCCGCTGCAAGTTAGGGTATGGCTGTTTTCTCATCTCATGCTTCAGTTATTCTCCACTGGGAGACACACTGCAGCAGTTTCTATAAAATTCCAGGCATCCTACAGTGACTTAAACAAGGAAGCACTTTACCATCTTTTTTCAATCTACAAAAGGATACTGTGGCATATGAGATTTTTCTTTTCCTAGCTGATTTTTGTCTCTCTACCCATGTAGGTATGTAGGTATTTTAGCGGAATTGTGAGATTTTTCTTGCTTGCATGAAGCTGTGAATTTTCTTGTTCTGCATTTGAACTGCTTCAACAATTGCCAATCTAGTAAAACTCCTTGGACAGTCCCTGCCTTCCTCTGTCACTCCAAGGCTGCAGCTGTGACAAGTGTGGCCTAATTTACAAAAAGGCTGTCAATAGGGTCTTCAGGTTCCCAGAGAATAGATTTTTAATGATTCTTTCCTCTTCCAACTTGGCATTGGACATATCATGAAATACTTTCTTGGTTTCCACCCTGAACAGGATTCTGCTAAGGAGTATGCTTAGCTTGACATCACTGGTGCTTTAATTTGCTGCCACGTGTGTATTCTTGAATGAGACTGAGACAGCATCACTTTTTGGTTTGTAACTGGAATATGCAATCTTGGATTATTTCCTTTCCTTCCTGTCCTAAATGGCCATGAGGGTGCATCACTAGTTCTGCATAAGCTCCTGCCTGCTGTGAAATAGCATCTGGGTCTTGTGCCAGAGGGGGACCATGGTCTCAGACAAATGACAACAGGCTGCGGGTGTGCACACAGAAGTGCTTAATGTGCTTCAGTTGATGCAGAGCCATTTATTAAGCTGTGGTAGCTGGAACCGGGTGGCTGAGCCCTGCGACTAAGTGGAGAATGAAGGGCATTGAAAGCCATCTATTAGGTCATCCAACCTGCTCCTCAGAAGCCAAGTCGGGATTATTCCCTCCACTCCTTTCTGGTATTGTTCTCTTGCCATGAATCTGTGTGTGTTCTTTCTCCTCCAGGCATTGTTGTTTTCCTAATCCTGTTTTATGATACAGCTCAGAGGCTGCTGAATCACTCTGCTATGATGCTGTTTGACCGGATTCCAATTTGAAGCACTAATAGAAAGCATTTTGTCCCCTCTTCCCCCCACCAACAAAACAAAAAAAAAATGTGAACGGAAGAAATGGACAGGCTCCAATAGTACTGAAGAGACCCAATTTAGAATTATTGGAGCATTTAATTTTTTTATAAGCCTTGAATTTGGAAGTGCGTTGAGGTTCGAGGGCATCTGTGGTGAAAAGACAGCGGAAATTATTGGAGCACTGTCCTTGGGAAGCACTTGGTGCATCACAGCTTGAGGTGGCGTGAGGGAAAGCAAGGTACTCAAAGATGTGATCTTTAAGACTGTGTGTGCTCAAAAACCTCTTGATTTTTATGTTTTATTTCCTTACTGGCGGCATTACCAGAAGCTGTCACACATTCTGAGCTTAATTTAAAGGAAGCATTCCAAACTCATAAAAGATACATTTAGGATGTCATCTGTATCTGCTTTTTAGTCTCCTGATGCCAAATTGTCCCTTCCCAAACATCTCGAAGTTCCAAACCATCACCGTAATGCCATGGGGAGAAAAATTGCAGTTTGCGGTTGGGAAGGTTAAGAACGTGAAGTCAGTGCTATAAATAAAGTGCTAAAATGAGGCTGAGGGCTGCTGCAGCCCCTTGGGAGAACTGCTCCAAGGAATAAAAGGCTCTGCTTGTGTTTCTCTTCCATTTGATGGAGTTCCTTCTTCCCACCTGCTCATCGTCACCTGCTCCTCTGCTCTGCCTGCTTGGTTGTTGGTATTTGGATTTCTCACTGCTTCAGCTACGGTCGTAAAGCTTTGCTAACCTGACCCGTTTATTGAAATGCACTGCAGTTTGGAAAGATTTCCCCTGAGCGTGCTGACAACCAGCAAGGAGCAGGCTAGGGGCTGTAATGAAGAGCTACAAGGTTGCAAAATGGCACCTTCAGTACAGCATTTCTTTTTTAGAGCTACAGCTCCATCCTAGCAGCCCTTTCGTCACCTTCAAATGGACTCAGAGCAGGATCAAAGATCTGGGTCCTGATTCTGTAAAGTATTGAGTCCTCAGGGGTTTTCTTCCATATAGACCACCCAGAGACAGGGCCATGCACAGCTCTTACGTCCCAGTTTTAGGAAAGTATCCCTTATTCCTTTTGATCATTTGATTTGGTATCAGAAGGGGAAGCCAAAATAGTGATAGCATATATAGAGCTGTGCACATTCCTATGGGGAAACAGCAGCCTGCTGTCTGTCCAGCTTTGCCTGTCGCTTTCAGCAAGTGATGGAGTTTGTCCTGGGGCAGATAAGGGAAAGCTCACACCAGGTGTTTTGGAGGCTGCCTTACAGAAATGATTATCTCTAGCTAAGGGACAGCAGTGGGTTGACGAAGATCTATAGCACATCAGTGTGCAAGCCTTCATGGAGATTGCAGGGATTTGCCCCACTGTGGATGCATGTGTATTTGCTTTGTGGAAGGATGCATTCTGATCAAGTCCTTTAGCATAGCAAACTTCCCTTCAGTTGTACTGGCTGTTGACCAACATATTTTTCCTCTTAGCAGGTTGAAAGTGTGGCCAGTGATATTTCCTTCCAGCTTTGCATGAGATAAGCATAAAAATGAGATTTCAAACTTTGCAAAAAAAAACTTCCTGGCTATGAGTCCCTTAAATTTACCTCTTTTTTCTGAGGCACCAGAATGCTATTAGGAAGCAAGCTGTGCTATGCAACTCAAGGGGTTTGCATCTCTCTTCTTCCCTCTTCCTTTCCCTATAGAGTCCTATGATTCCAGAAGCATCACTTACACAAGGAGAATATTTACTTTCATTAGATTGAGCCCACTCATTTCTTTAGGTTCTCATGCTAGAGTTGTCCATGAAAGATGTGGTTTTCCTGAGCAGTAGCCTACATGCAAGCTTTATTGTGAGTGAGTGAAAGGAAGGGTGCAGTGATGGGAAGAAGAGGAGGAAGAGGCTGTGCTCCTGGTGATGCTCCACCACCCATGGTGGCCACTGCCTTGGCTTCCCTTGGGACAGAAGAACCAGCTGAGGTGTATCATAGAGAGTGGCAATTAGTGGGTAGTTTTAGCCAGGGCTCCATGCAGAAGAACAACCTCTTCTTTGTTCTGAATTTATTTTCCCAGCCTAGGAAATGTTTTCTAGCAACAGCAGCTTAAACCTGTGAAGTCAGCTTCATGGCAAATACCACAGCTGCTGAATTTTGGATGATACCAACCTCTGCATCTTGTTAGCACATTTGTTATTGTGATATGAACAACAGAGTTTAAGGAACATTTCTAGTTTCAGCTGGTTTTAGCCTAGTCCGTCACGTCAGTACGTGTGATAAACCTGTCATGTAGAAGGAGACGGTGTGAGGCCTTTGAGTTTCCTGAGCAATTTGGAAAAAAAAAAAAAAAAAAAAGCAAAATCCCCAGTATGGACTGCAACACTGCTTCCCTTGGGGCTGCCCATGGTTCCATAAGGCCCTCACTCACCTTTCCAGGAAGACAAAAATTGGGGGCACTCAAATGTTTTGCCTTGAGTAGGGTTTGTGCCACATTACAGAAATGGCATGAAGAAAATCACTGCTTTGCTCTAAACTTCTCCTTCTTTGCCATCTTGGGTGGTTAGTAATGAAGTAAACAAGTTGTCTCCTAGTGAGCTCTGGGTCAAGCTTCTGCTGCATCTCCTCAAGGCCTTTCTATGCTGTTTTACCAGAAGATCAATGTCAATCAGTGTCTGTAGACCAGAACCCAGCAGTATAGCAACTGGCAGCCAAGCTGATGAAATAACAAGCAAGTGAACATCACTTAGATTAATTTATCTCATTGCATGACTGGTTTGGACTGTACAGTCTCTACAGGCTGCTCTTTC